AGCGCCTTCAAGCACATTTGAAATCTTCGAAGACCACTGTGAACGATGAACGCGAGGAAAACGAATCGAATGCAAAAAGTGTTCCGATCCGCACTGTAAATGTGACAGTGGGTCATCATAGGACTTCCCTAACAGAGGGATTTCATGCCTGTTAGTCGCGAGGCAACGTTGCGCGTCCATAGGCGGATAGAGTTACCCGCAGACCAAAAGCAACCTTCACTTCAATGGGACCCAGGTGGGCCCAGGAATGGAGTTCCTTTCCCTGCTACGCCAATTTGGCACACACTAAACTAAACTAAAATAGACTAAACTATAGGTCACAATGTAGTACTTCTTACTTACTGCCTATTCTTTTATTTTCATATCGGGATATAATGTGCAAAATAACTAGTGATGACGCGATATTTGCAATACTTCGGACCGCAGGTGTCTGCCGCACGATGGACACCACGCTGCTCAATGATTAGCAGTACTATCGCACAACCTTAGCTCACATTCATCCGCTCGTCTGATTTTTACATGAAACGCAAATGTCTATTGTTTTTGGCACTGAGATTGGTAAAGGTTTCCAATAATGTTTTATCGCCGCGTTCAACTCGAAAGCAAGAGTTGAAAACAACGGCGAAGTGTTCGATGAATTCGAATCCATAGCGCATGCATCAGGGATTTATCAACATAGAAATCTACAAAACTGGAAACGAAACACCCGCATGGTGTTGTGGTGTATGCGTTAGCCACCGGAAAGGGTAGTAGTGCGCTTGTTCCCACCGCAGACATCTGTGGACCGGAGTTTTGCAAACACCACAGCATAATTGTGGCTGTAACACACATCACGTGTGCCAGAGAAAGAAAATCTTGCCTGAGCGGCGAATTACCAGTGAAATAGGAATTCTGCTGGGGTTCCTGCGACTTCTCACCCTTTATAGTGATAACCCATTTACGCGCCCAAATATAAATAAAAGCTTCATCGCTGTTGTTAGAAACTTAACCTACAAACTACCGTACCATGGAACTTATAAAATGCAGGATTCAAAATATTCATTAACGTCCTTTTCTCAAGGTGTTTCCACACCTTAGCACACACTCAACCTAGATTCTCGATAAAGCTGATCACATTGTAGACGAAGCGAGAGATAAAACACAATCAACCTAAGAATCCGTAGAAGTGACTTTTATTATCATATTAGATATCTAGATAGATAATCTCCACCAGATACCAGATGAGGAACAGTCAACGAAAACGAATACAAGAAAGGAAAATTCAGAACTGGACATCGAAGTGGAAATGGAATCCGTCCAGTAAAATTGTCGTCCGCAACAAGACTCTCCATAGAAATAAGTTTTTCGAGAAGAGAGGAAATCTTCGATGGACTCGGGAGTCCCTCTAACGCCATGATAGATGCCGAGATCGATTGTATTCTCAGGAAGAGATGGTGCCTAATCGACAGCTCAGTGGTACATGAATTCTGTACTGGATCTGATCACCACCTTCTGCGCAAAGATTCAATTCAGCCACAAGTTTGAATACAGCTCCTGTCATCGTGCAAGAACAACTAAACAAGGCGTCTACGACGATGGCGTTTTCAATAAAGTCTTCTCCTCATACGAGTGGCAAATAGAGAAAGACCTATAAAGAACTACAAGCTTCCTGCTGAAAACTTCTGTGCAGCACTCGCTTCAGTTACTCAAACAAGTTGTGCGAACCCATTGCCCATTATCACTAAGGAGCCGGTAGTAAAGTGAAGGAGACTGAAGCTTGATCCTACTGCAGCACACCTAACACGGCTGATAATAAATACCGGCCGTAGAAGACGTTTGTAGGAGGATTTAGATCGGTATAGGCAGAAAAAGTTTTCGGAAGCAGCTCAAAAACGATCCACCTTGGCGAAATGTCGCCGAAATTTGTGCGAGTATAATGTTTCGCCGTCCATTTTTATGAACGAGGATGGTATTAGTACCACAACCGGCTATGATATGGAATCGATAACGAAAAGGTTCTGTACCAACGTTTTCCTTCAACAACTCTCTATCTCGGACCACGAAATCCCCGCTGCAAAAAAGCTGCCCGTGATTTACACTCTGGTGATCGAGTTACGACAGAAACCATGAAGAGAAGCAACAGCAGGACTTTAAATTTAAGCATTTTAAAACTTAAAAATTAAATAGAAGTGAATAACCAAATTTTAAAAAATTTAAATCTGGGAAAATTTAAAACATAAAACGTAAACACGGACTAAATATAGGAGACGAAACATAAACTAAGAGTGATGCTTTTATGAAAAGGTTCTTAAGTTCCTTTAAACTGCATTTTTCTAAACTGAATTGTAGACAGCAAGTCTTTATAGAAAATATGAAGCAAGAATTGAAAGATAGGACATGGAGATTGCTCAGCCCTGATGACGAACGAAAAGCGAAATCGTTCAGGTGTGGAACTATCGAACTATTCAACTGCTTTAACCAACACTGTTCAGATTGAGTTTTCGATAAAAGTGCGGTATGTACGTTTTCAGTGAATATGTGAGTAATACCTACCTCTTACATAGTAAATGCCTGCTTTTGAGGCTGATGGCGAAAAGCTTTTGCTATGATCGGTAAAAAGAAGAATTTTCTACGCAAGAGAAAACAGAACTCATTCTTATGGCACATCTCCACACAATGCGAAAATATTAGCACCTCTTTCATTCGTTTCGCTGCTTTCTACCAGTATCGGCGGAGACGTTCGGATTTTTAGTGTGGATTCCTCTACATAAGAACATCAACCTTGTTTATGATCGTCGGCGAACGTTCACCGAGCATACTATGAGTGATACCCTAGGGAACATAAGGTTGCATCTATTCTACAGCAGCCCTCTAAGGCCTTCTGGAGAAGTCCCACTCAGTCGGATATAGATTCCTCACTGGAAGATTCATGGTAACTGAACTGAACTATGCTGTTCACTTATCCACTTCGAGATATTATGTGCAGGAATCGCTTTTGTCGATTTCTCCAGAATTTTTTACACCTTCTGTCTACATCTACTCATCTTTTTATTCTCGGTGCTTCAATAACAGCATTCTTTCTTTCGCATGTACATTTAAAAACACCTGTCTATTACGAAAAACTCGAGGATGGCTTGATTGTTGTTGTCTTCGCTTGCGTGACATTCGATAACTTGAAGAAATAATGTGTTCTCCGCCAAGTATAGAATCGTGCCCATTGTGATCAACTCGTCACCACGAATAGCTTCGAAAACCCATGTCGTACTTCCGGGGTTCACTGAATAGCTCAGGGCTGGATGGGCCACGCGGAACGTCATACATTCATACGATGGTTCCTTAGAACTCTTCTTGGCAAGAAAGTGGCTATGTGTTGGTGTAATGACAGTCATAACATCAATCGTAACAAAAGTAGTAATGGTACTAAGAGTTACAGTAGAAAGAATAATAGTGACGACAACAATGACAATAATATCAACACATGCGGAAAACACTTGGGGCTTTCACGAGCCGTAAAATAACGCTACAAAATGATCGCTATAAAAATCTCTACTTGACTAAGCCTCCAGCGAAAAGCGAGTTTCAAAATATTACAAATGGAAAGCGCTGTAAGAAATCCATTGCGACAATTCTTTGCAAATATGATCACGACGAAAGTGGCCATCATTTTCGAAAAACAACAGAGTTTTTACCCTTTACTTTACAGAAACTGAACACTGTGCGGATTTCAGTATTTCCAGCACTCCAATCTTTCCTCAAACTCACCACTCCTGAAGGTCATCGGATTTTGCGAGTGAGTTTGGAAAGTTCTTAATGATTTTCGATCTTCCTTACTAATGACATCGAAAGCTGGTCGATTTGATTCACTCTTAAACCTTAAGATAACTGTGCTACACTGTCCCCAAATCTTCATCAGAGGAAGTTGTCAGCCTTTTTGGATTGGAGAGATCGAGCTGATCGTAGACGATTTGTTGCCAATTTCTCGATGCTAGATGTATGGGGTCTTGGTTGTCCTTGAATGGGTGGAACCAGGGCTTTGTGTGCATTGGATTTCATGAAAATCGCTGAACAACCCCTGTCCTGAATCAGATCAGTAGAAAATACTAAATAGAATAGTAACGAGTAATGAATTAATAAAAAAAAATAGTAGTCACTAGTAATAACCGATCCTCATAACGGGCTACCGTCTCATCCTGTCTGGAAGATGTTCCTGGGTATCTTGCGCGACCTACCAGCGCGGTGATTGATCCCCCAAGAGCGCTCCCCTAGCTGGTAGAGTCCGGCTTTTCCATCAAGAAACTAAGGGAGGAGCAAACCAATACCAGGATCCACCATCGTCCAGGTTTCAACCTAGTTGCATGATGCAAAAATTTCCTTCGATCCACAAACGCGTCTACTGTCCATGGTGATGAGAACTTCACGCAGACTTTGGCTTCGCCGTTCTCGGCACTCTATCGAACCACAACGGCATAACCAACAAAACTCCGAAACAATGGAAATTCTGCCGCGGTCCACAAAATTACTGAACGCTGGCCATACAAGCACACAAGTGTCCAAGTAATCACCATCACAATAAAACAGCAGTTAAATCGATGATTGTATTAATGTATGCATGTAAATTCCTAATTTGCAAAAGTTATGCAGGTGTCCTATTGGCACGCAATAGTTTACTAACGAAGCTTTTTCATTAAATCTATTCGTTCGTAGGTTTGTAATATCAATCCAGTGCTATGATAATCAAGAGCAAGGTTTAACGTAACCAATACGACACGATGTGAGAAATACTATTTTGACTCACTTCATTCTGAAAATAGAGGATAACATGCAGTATTCAAAAAACTGGAGTCAGCGTCTGAACGGTACTGCCTTTCCTTAACTTCTCATTAATGGGGATGGGGTTGAAATTTTCACATGCCTCAAAAATAAATTCTTCCGACGTGCTGTTACCATCGCATTTCAAATCCAAACACTGAATCCAATGTTTATGTGGTTGATATGAAAGTACATACAATGGATGCAAGCACCTAGCTAATGACTAGGGTGTTGACATAAGAATCGCCGACAGGATTATCTGTAACATCCAACGATGCTCTTTGCAATCGTTCTATCAGCGTTGCTAGAATGTCAGCAGCATCACTCACTTCCTGGATCAGCTCGTTCAACTCTTTCAAGGCCGTGCGGTACTAAATAAAAGCAAAACGGAAGTGGTCATTCAAGACGGACTTATTTCCTGACCAGATGTTGATAATACCACCATCTTCATGAAATAATATGAAACCAATTGTCAACATATGCAACAGACCTCAACAATACATTTTGCAAGCTTAGCGTTCTGACGACTGAGCGCCTGCGCGTCAGGATCATCGAAGAAAAGGAACCGATAAGTATATTCACGTTCAGGCAGAGTAACGTGGCGAGGAATACGAAGAACGTATTTCGGAATCCGTTCCTTAAAAAAATCCATAAATACCTGCCTGGATGAAACACGTATACTCTGCAAATAGAACGATCTATATTTCGGAATGAAACAATATCTGCAAGTGAACTTCCAAGATTATTCGGTACACAACAGAAATTGAAGAGAATCATACAGTGGCCAGATTTAGTGAAGAAACTAAACAAGCGCTCACTATTAAGACATCTGTTGCTTCTTTTATACACTTACTATGGAAAAACATCTTAATGACCTCTGCCACATAGCCCTGTTTGTCCTCCATCTAAACTGCTAGAATAAAACATTACCCATTGTTCAGAAAGACAAGAACATAACCATCGCTCACTTCGGAGAAAGAGGCTGAAGAGAACACTTCCTCAACTGCTTCAGCCCATGATTGCACACAATCATTGTAAACAAAATAATTCTTTTGGCACACTATGCTTGGAATATGCGATGTAAGCATAAAAACCGAATGGGAAATATTACCAAGCAAACGATATCATGCATAACCTTGAACTAGAGAGACTAAACTACCTGTGTCCACAAACACAAATGGAGAAAAACCATAGTACTGAAACTCGAGCTCATTGACGAGCTCAGCCTCTACATCGTCCATCTCCTTTTGAAGTACTTGTGGAAATACCTAGTGTTTTGCAGAATCGAAACAAAAATTATTCAATACATTGCTAAAACATAAAACCAAAAATATAATACCGCAAAACGTGTAGTCATATACAAACGAGAAAAAGAACACGTTTATTATTGCTTTCAAAAAATAACTACAGAACAATAATAAACGAAAACGGCAGTCACCTGACCTCTTCGCGACGATGTTGAACTTCGATACCGTGTGGGCGATTATTTCTCGATCGCGTAAGTGTTGGAAACACACAGTGGCAACAAGACGAGTAGAAAGAAAATTCGAGAAAAATGTATCACTCCATTTCACTTGTGTTTAATACGTTTACTAAAACAATACTGAACTGAACTAAACTAACTGGAAAGATAACAAACCATTTGCTTTCGAATAGCCGAGGAAAAACAAGAGAGTGGCAAAGAAGTAGACTTCGGCTGATCGCCAGGCAGAACAGATGGCGAAGATGTCGACGAGGAGAATGTTGTTCCGAAGTGTGGAAAGAGCATCATTAGAAAATGCTTTACTGCTGTTGAAATATTTGGGCGGAAGGAATCTTGTAGGTATCATTTCTTGTCGAATGTCCACGAGGATAACTTCGGCAACCAAAACAAAACAAGCTCCAATATACTGTTCGGAGGTCACTGCTAGGATTTCGCCGACAATGATGGGAAAAAAGGCGATACCTACACTTTTGCGCCCTCTTCATGTTGGAGAAACACATGAAATTGAGCCTAAATTCCACGCAACGTTACTATATGTCAATCACTGTCTAGGATCTGTTATACTATTTGAAGTAGCGTCAACACCTGGAGGCAATGTGTTGTCTACAGGAGATTTCCGCGCTGATAAAAGACTATTTTGTTGTTTCGAAAACGATTCTTTCTCCAGGAAGCTCGAAAATACCTACATCTCCAAGTTCTCCTTCGACAATACTCATTTGAATCACATCGATGCATCATTTCCTAGTAGAACAGAGCACGAAAATGTGTTAACGCGTGAAATCGCTAAATCAATCATCGCTGTAACATTTTCGTCCCGGTGTTAAAGTTTTGCACAGAAGAAAGCTTAGAAAAACTAAGCAAGGACTAACCAGAAGTAACACCAACAAGAAATGAACGTTTAATGGCGAGGAGACTATGTGGACTAAATAAAGGCGAATTTCAGGAACAGATTGATAGTACCCTTTTTTCACTTCTCAAAGACAGCCTAGATATGTACTACATGCACTAATGGAGATGAAGAATCCAAAAGTGTTTGTTGATCTCTCCTTATCAGAGGAATAGAACGAAATAATTAAGGAAAACCTCATAACAATTCCCTATTCCGAGCATTCCTCTTGGAAGGAAATCCTCGAGTTCATATTAAGGTTACGATTCAAATTCTATTCTAACAAATGCCAAACTAAGAAGACGGATTACAACCCCATCCATTACAATCTTCTAGATCTAAATAACTACGTGCGGTATACATGCACATGAATGCATTCCTTCTGTCGGGATCCTGAAAACCGGAGAAAGTCAAGGTAAATGTCATGATAAGAAAATTTCGAAAACTCCAATACACCTGGATTCGTCACGTTGGCTTCCGTAAGTGTTCTATTCCCAAAGAAATACAATGGGTATTTACATGTCAAATCAAAAGAATATGTTGCTGCCCTCCCAGACAAGACTGGTACCAAATTGCCGACCCTAAATGGATGGAAGGCTTGGTGGGCCATGGGCGCGGTGATCGATTTCACGTGTGTGTTGCAGGTCGCCTCCGACCAATGCGCCCTACGCGCCCTCTATTGTCTCACAGATCCACAATTTAGGTAGCCTGAATACGAGCAAAATTTATTCGTGATTTCATTCGATGTATAAGTAGAGCATGTCTTACTACTCAACAACGGTTTATATATACTCAAACGGTGCACGTAGAATGATCAAGGCATCCAATACAACGACATTTGCAACATATTTTAAATTCAATGCGCATACTGGTCAATGTCGACTTAGTAATCACAATAATTAAAGCAGGTCCCAGGATAGGCTTTGTATTAACCTCGGCATTGCGTTGCAAAAGAATTGTCCTCTTTCTCAGCATTCGCAAGGCTGTTATACGTCATACGTTTACTTCCCTACAAAAAACACATGCAACACAATAGTAGCCGAAGTTTCGGCAGTACCCCTTCGTAAGAGCCTGGAAGGATATGTTGGTATGCAAATTACTACACCAAACGCTTCAATATCACATACTGAATGATGGAAATCTATATAGTAATCATATAGTCAGCAGCTTCTCGAAAAACCCACCGTTCTACGTGCCTTCTACTGAGGAAGAGCCGCTGATTAGTCGCATATGGCCAACGACTGCACCATCTCACATCAAAAGTCGAAGGTACGGGCCGAGATCATGTGTGATATCTGGACATCCATCCGTGCATTATATTGTAGGATTATCTCCAATTATATAGCGGTTCTTCATCAGTAGAAGGCATGTAAAAACGGTCCGTTTTTCGAGCTGTTGATCATGTGAATATCACAGATTTTAACCTTTTTGTGTGTTATTGAAGTGTTTAGCGTAGTAAATTGCACATCAATATACCCTGCCTAGCTCTAAAGAAAGCGATACTGCCGAAATGTCAGCTATTGTTGTGTTGTACTGTGTTTTTCTATGGAAATAAATGTAAGCTGTATAACAACCTCACGACTGCTGAGAAAATAACGACGCATTCATAAGGACTGACTAATCGTTGGATTACGTACCTACGAAAAAGTTCCTGGAGAACGCAGATTATAGGCACAGCCGCTTCACAGAATAGTTTCACACCATCAGTGATTGAAAGAGAGCAATATCTAGTAACAACCGATCAGAAATCGATCCGAGCCTGAAGCAAAATGAATCCATATGGAACTGTAGCCTAACTAGTGCAAGATAATATATTCAAGATATCACAGAAAAATACCCAGCAATCACTTGGCCGATAAGGCGAAGTACTGTTAACAAAAGCAAACCTTGTCACCTGAGAACATATGCCGGAGAAGAGCAATATATCGCTTGGTTTCGGAAATTGTTTGCAAAGACAAATGAAAAGAAAGTAACTCTCCAGCCCATTCTTCTGGCGGAGAATTTATCTCTGACTTCAAATCAAGATTGGTACCACAGGCCATTATGTAAACCTTGATACATGCTTCGACCATATCGCTGAAAGTTATCGAAAAGTGAATGCCTTGAAATAGGAAGTTTCAGCATTTGACCTAAACAATACAGAAAACAGTACCACCTGAAACGTTGGATTCCTATCTCTTACAAACCTGAACTGGTGTGAAAGCCTCATGTGTGGGAACATTAGACGCTGGCAGTGAATCATGTATGATAAGTGCTAAGTTTGACCTGCTGACACCATGGAACTGGAAAAAAGAACGAAATTTCTAAAAACACATACTATTTGTTATGTAAACACTGTTGTCTTATGCATTATAAACAATCAAACGCACTAAATGAATGGTAAACGATGGTCTGAAATAACTGCTAAGGCTCACAACTGTGTTAATGCCACGATCATTTAAAAACGTCAAAAACGAGATTCGAAGAGGCCACGAGATTGTTGAAGTCACCGTATTTCTCACCGCATCTCACGAACAACTGCTATGGAGGACATATAACAACCTTCTCTGTCATAAAGTGCAACATCGTCTGGTACCCTGAAGTGTATAATAAGGTTTCGCACTTCGCTCAGCACATATTCAGATGTGCTTTTCGTCCGTTGTCCGCCAAACCATAATAGATGCCAAATTCAGTGCATTAGCGATCAACTTCAACTCTACATGTACATTCGACTTTTTCCACGTACTGTAAATTCAGACAACGTTAAAAATTTGGGGGAATTTACGTTTACGAATTGAAACGCGGAGGTACGCAGCGCAAACAATTCGAAATATTTATGAACTTTTTCTTAATTTTATTTTATACGATTCGTCTTTCACATCTACTGCGCTGATCCCAGGACTTCTCACATTCGATTCGTTTCCCCGTCTCTAACATCCACTAAGGTCTTCCAATTTTTACGCGTGGATTCTACCGCTCCTTGAGGATTTTCATTTCATCTTGAATGTTGTAGAATGCTGGTCGAGTCGATTCTCCCTGGAGTACTGAGACAGTCGGGCTGGAGCTTTCCCAAATGGATTGGAGAGAGATTTTTCTCGGGCGATTCCTGTACCAATTTCCTCACCCCGGAGAGATGAGAGGTTTGGCGAACCATGAGCAGGATCGAACAACACCGCGCTCATGATGATCGGCATCACTACCGTTGTTCTATCCGTCTCCCTTTAATGAAATATGGAACCGAGAATACTCCAATGAATGCACAAAGGAATGTTGGCCTCAGTGTTCTTGCCAAGGTGAATTCGCGGCCTGCAGTTGTTGACAACGAATTAACGGCTTTGTTGGAAACAAAAACATGCACAACTAGTCAGAAAACTCGTTGTACGCACCTTCATTGCGAAATATAACCACAATGTTGCTGAGATATTTGCAAAACTCCGTACCGCTGGTGGCTGCGGTGGAGACCGAGTCTCCCGACCACGCTTATACCCTTTCCAAATGCTAACACGTTCACCATCGATATCTGCTCTCTAGATCAATCCCGGTGATGGGCAATTGCCGATAGCGACTATAGGTCAATAACACTGTTGAGAGACAGGCGAGACCAAGGACTCGCACGGTGTAGTGGCGAAACCGTTAGGGCCTGGAAAGGGTAATAACGTGCTCGGTCCCGTGATGCAGGTAATGTGCTGGGCATCTGGGTATGTCTGTAGCATTTGAAGAACTCATTACTCATTAAGAAGCTTTCAAAGTCACCTCGAAACTTCAGGGAGGTTATTGAGTCTGATAGAATGCAGCCCTTATATTGTGGGCGACCTCTGCGGCTTTACTTCATATTTTGAGTTTTCAAGACGAGAAATTCCAAGCTTGTTTTCTCCTGCTTTGGTCATCTCACACGTGATGTCTATCTTACATTTAGTACAATTTATTTGCTTTTTGAAATGTTAAAAGCACCCTTTGCTGTCGAACTCTCTTAAGAACTCTTTTAATTGCGAAAACAAGGCTGCTTTTAACTTCAAACTAGCTTCTCTCGGCCCATACCCTACCTTGCAAGATTCAAGTGTTCTCGTTTTGCCGAAATCAAGTTTCGATCTTTGGAAACCGCGAAACGTTTGCATTTGTGCCATCTTCTGCGTTAGATCTTGTATTTTGTGCCGTGTTATTGACCCATAGGCGATATCGGCAATTGCCCATCACCAACATTACAGTTATACTTCATATAATACCCCGCCAGCCCTTTGTTGTTCAACTGTTTTCGTGCACGAAATACAAGATCTAACGCAGAAGATGGCACAAGTGCAAACGTTTCGAGGTTTCCAAAACATCGAAAATTGATTTCGGTAAAATGAGAAGATTTGAATCTTGCAAGGTAGGGTATGCGCTGAGAGAAGCTAGTTTGAAGTTGAAAGCAGCCTTGTTCTCACAATTAAAAGAGCTCTTGCGACAGCAAAGGCAGCTTTTTACACTTCAAAAAGCAAATAATGTGTACTAGATGTGGGAGAGACGTCACGTGTGAGATGACCGAAGCAGGAGAAAACAGACTTGGAATTTCTCGTCTTGAATACTCAAAATATGAAATAAAGCCGCAGAAGTCGCCCACAATATAAGGGTTGCATTCTATTAGAAACTAAATAACTTTCCTGAAGTTTCGAGGTGACTTTGAAAGCTTCGTAATGAGCAATGAGTTCTTCAAATGCTACAGACATACACAGATACCCAGCACATTACATACATACGTCCACAAACATATAAACACACAAACACGCATATATATACATACTCATATACATAGTATATACATATATATATATATATATAATATACATATACAGAAACATGCATTCAACAGCTTATATATAAAAATGGAACAACACTTTTAGAAGCTCTGAATAAGAATATCAAGTTCAGAGAAACTCGACAAATGGACGTCGCAGAGATTTAAAAAAAGCAGAGAATTTTTTGTTACAAATAGAAATAGAATAGAACACAAACAGAAACATTTGCTGACTCTGTTGACCAGCCGAATAAAAGCATTTCTGTTGTATAACTAAACCTGTATAACTGTATAACTAACTGTTTGTATATTTCTAAAAGAGCAACCCTTTCGCCTTTCCATCCTGGTGCTTCATCAAATTATGCTATTGCAGGAAGTGGAGGCGAGCACAAATAGCTGCCCGACCAAAAATAACTGGTCATCCTCACGAATTTATCTCCGTGGATCATAGATTTCCATCTGCTCTTCCCAGTGAAACGTCAACGTTATGTTAGTAGGAAATATACTCGCGCCACAAGACGATGTGCTCCTACACAAAATCTGCAATATTTGCACTTCCTTTCTATGCCAGAAACGTAAAATGGTAAAATAGTTTAAACTGTACGATGCCACTGCCTTGCTCCGTGAGTCAACACCCTCAAAACGCCGATGAAGAGTTCTTAGCATGTCCTCACATAGATTCAATGGCCTAATTCATAACAATGAAAACCGGAAACACAAGTCTTATTCACGACTACGAACATGTACTTAGATTTTAAACGTTTAAATCCACACCCAAGCCCCTCGTGCAGAAGGTTATGATCACAGAGCCTGAGGAGTGAAATCCAACAAATGTCATTCCAAACAGAACTTTCGCATTCACAATGATACATGTAGATGAATCTATGAGAAATTGATTCGGAAGGGCACGAATTTCCAACGAATGAACCTAAAAACAAAAATTCAATGATAGCACCTGAATGACATAAGAACAACATCGTTCAACAACAGCAAGGTTTGTTTATTCACGTTCGATACTAACACAAACACCTGTAAACTCCTAATTCTTTTGCGAACCTGTTGCGAAGATCGAAGGGAGCGGAAGCGTCGACAGAGTTGCATTCGATACAGCTCGTCGATGTGACCAATTGACGCTCACGAAAGCCTAATGGCATGTTGAAAATCAGAAGAAAAGCCCAGTGAGAGAGAAAATGAGTGAGGAAAAAGTGAATTGAAATGAGGACAAAACACAAACCCACATCATTCGCCTAGCTCTGCTGATTCGTTTTTTCAGTGAAAGGAAATCAAAACTGAATGGACCATTGGCAGAAAACTCACATTCCGTGGAATAGTCCGTTTGCTGCTCAACAGCACACTCAACGTTCTCAGCTGTCTAAAGGATTCGCTGGCATTCAGTCAGTGTCGCGCGATTTTCAACGAGTCATAGAACTAATGAATTCTCGTAAAGGAGCAATTAGAAACTTCATACCCTCTCAAGTGCGGGCATGTCCATCACCGGGAGTTTGGGATGATCCAGGAAGGTGCAATCCGTCAAAACTGGCACGTTGACGGTTTTGCACAATCGTACGCGAGATTTATCCAGCTGAAAGAATACTGATACAATAACTGGACCCGTGAGAAAAATTGGAAACGCGTACCAATAAGGTACCATTCGATTCACTGTTGCAGCCTCCTTAATGGGAAGCAGGAACTTACGAACCAATGTACATTGGAAACTATCAACTGGGACAGCGGACTTAATTCAGTGAAGAAGTAAATTTTATCTTAGAGAAGACCACTGTCCATGAAAGGAAAAGCTGAAAGGAGCAAATGGAGCTCGGATGAACAGAAACCCAAAGATGGCAGCGAAAGCAGCTCTATTAAAATTCTCACATCACGCGCGCGATTCAGTAGCGCGCAAAGACCGCGTGGCGCCTCGATTAGGTCGCGTTTGCTTCAACTGAAGAAGACAGCAGATTGTTCTTTAAGCAACATATCTAAGTATATTGCCTTCATTTGTAAAAGGCTTAGAAATTCCTTTCTGTGAAAATTCCAAGTTAATATCGCTTTTGGTGGAAGCGCTAAATAAGTATACAGCTTGTGTATCTATAAAGGATTCAGATGCCTTATTTTTATTAGTACTTTCTGAAGCTAATGTGGAGTTTTACAACCATCTGGTTTATTTATCCGGGCTTGTGATTGAGACGACAGGGGTTTGCTTAGGCTTACAAAAAAACTTTTTAAAGTTATCAAAAATGAGTGATGACTCATAAATAATTTTTTAATTTCCATTGTTTAGTTCAAAGTTATGTAGTGAAAGAGCTAGGTGTAATCTTTGCAATTCAACCGAAAATAAACCTATAAATAGTGTTTCACATGATTTATTTCGCATATATTAGCACTTGTATCATACTATCATACTATGCTATATTGGGGGCACATGTAGTGCACTGGCCAGAGGCGCCCAGCGATACGTACCTGGGATCGATCCCTGCGCTCCAGGCTCACCAAGCATTTCATCACTTCGTGGTCGGCAAGTTGGCACCAGTCTTGTCTGAGAAAGTGCCAACATTGGATCGATGCGTTGGTAGGCAACCACGAGTCATTGTAAAGGCCAGATATGCATTCAGCCTCGAAACGATGCTTAATGAAGTCGAGTGCATGGCAAATCCTCAGTGGTCGATCAACGCCGAGAGTTTTATCCTTTTATACTATTTTACAATGTTATTATACATTACCATACATTAGCATGACGTGAAAAACCTACCATGGTGAACAGTGCGCAGTTTTTACGAGTTGGTGCTTTGATTTATGTAGACTGCAATGATCTGCAGTGTTTTGTTCCAAATAAATCGTTACTGATTTCGGATTGACGAGAATTTTAACGAACATCGAAGCGACACTAGAAATAGGGCGCCTTAAGGTAGATGGATCAACTGGTGTTCGGGAATGTGCACAGCAATCCGGGAATGCTAGTCGAGCTAGCATTTCTGGTAAAATTTTCGAACGGAAGGAAAAGATAGTAGTACGTCGTGACGGTTACAAGGAAGAAGTGATCCCTTACATATCCACTGTCCAGCTCCTGAAAAGAAACCAGTTTGGTGAAGAAGACATTGCTGCAGTGGCAACACTTGAGAAACTGTCACAAAAGGTGCATGAAACCCCTGAAACTACCGGATCTGATTAGTCTAACGGAATTCGAAGAGAAGAGGTGTTCGCGAGGTGTGGGAGCCAATCCGACAGCTATATATATATACATATATATATATATATATGTACATTATATATACATATATATATATATATATACACATTTAATGTTCATTATTACATTATCAACAATTCAGACAGTATGTATGCGTGATAAATGACAACTGTGGAATATTGTTTTCTGATATGCATGTTTGGTACACGTTATGTAATTACACCACATGTTGATATAACCTCTTCTGCGAAATAATCTTGTTAAACTCGTTAGTTACAGGTGATGGAAGAACCACGTCGACTTACCACACCGAGGACCATTCGTGCGAATTGCTTCAACACTGACCGGACGTCAATTGGCTGAGAAAAGCTTCTGGTTTGTTAAGAAGTCAAAAAATTTAGTATGACTTCTAATCTGGAAATTTCATCTCCCACATCGCCGACCCGTATGTCTGTCAACGTAAGTTGTTCTCATTACAGAAAGAATGAGAGAATTCCTATGAATGCAGTGTTTTTTCTTTTACATTGTTTGCGGGTTTCGTCTTTAAAAGTGTATTTACGATAAGCAACGTTCTTTTATAGCTTGGTTGGCTCTCTACGCCCACTTCAACATCTCAAAAATGTGGAAATTCTGGGTCCAACAATGAACCATCAGGTTTTCTTTTTATTTTGGGCTTTCAACCAACCATTAAGTTCACCAAAATGCAAAAGTGGCACCTAAGTCCAAACAGACTGTGCTGCTCAAAATCTTATTTTTAAATTTGGCTTGCGTTGATTTAAAGAGAAGAATGTGTGCGTAGAAAAGCGGCTACATCTTCACTTCGATTGTTCCCATTATCACCTGTATCACCTGTAGTTCCGTTGGTCGTCGAGTGACCCGAGCGGGCGCCAGTAAATCTTCCGCTTTTCCCTGTCGCGTGCAAGAGTAGCTCAGTGGGTCACCAAGTCACTAACGGCCTTTGTCCATCGGCTGTCACTCACACGCATTACGTGTCCGGGCTGCCTTATCTTCGACTGTTCGGTGTGCACAACGGCATCTTTGTATTTTCATCGTTGACAACACAGGTCGGAGCTTCGGATCGCTTCCCTTACTTGTGTGAAACGGGATTCTCCTAGCATAGTCCTTTCGACTGCGCGTTCGATAACGCTGAGTGACCTTTCATACTGCTTACGCAACGACCAGGTTTCTGAAGCTTACGTTATGGTAGGAGGTACCGTTGAGTCGAAGAGGTGGGCACGCAGTCGGAGTTCATTGTTTTGTTCACTATATCCTCAATGCTTTTGAAAACTCCCCAAGCCGCGCTTCACCTCTTGCTCAACTCTGGAGCTAAGTCGAGTCGTCTCCACGAACAAGCTCCACGTCCACTCTGGGAGAGCCTAGCAAGCTACCTGTGAGTATACCCAGTTTCCACGTTCAGAGCCTAGCAAGCTATACGTATGTATCAAAAAGCTAAAAGCAGTGAAAAAAACGGGCCTCATTCCCCTCACCTCAAAGAAGCCCCAATTCGGCAGCGTTGGGTAGGACGAATACGGAGAGACTGCTAAAATATCAGGGCCAATGGAAGCTACCTGAATCACGAAGAACTATGGTGGCGATCTGTACCTACAATGCACGAACGCTTGCATCCGAGTCCTCAATAGAAGACTTGCTCATGCAAGCAAGAAGAATAAGGTACAACGTCATCGGCATGGCCGAGACGAGAAGACGCCACCCTTTCAACACCGTCTATGACAACAGAGAAGAACTGTTCCTCGGAACATGCGAGAGTAGAGGAGTCGGCGGCGTCAGCATTCTCATCAAGACGAGTTTGTCCATGAACATTGATTCATTCGAACAACTAAGAACCCGAATCGGACGTTTACGATGCCCATCATAGTCACTTATATTGATAACCTATTGGTTTCTGTGCCAGTCTTTGGTATCTGTGTTTTACTAGTTCATTATTTTTTATTACTTAACCTAAATAAAGACCGTATTCCATGTGACAGTGATTTTCACTGTTCTTATTGTGTACGATATATTTTTATAGGCAGTACATCCTATAAATGGCAAGTACCCAGCATCGACACAAAAGGGCACTACAGAGAACCTGATGTTCGTTCTAATGCTGCTTGCTCAAGCGGTTGTGGCACCACTGTACGGTAGGTTACTTCCTCTATGTTTCATTTGAATACAGGAACTTATCCTTCATTTTTTAGTCGTCACATTCCTCGTGGTCACACTCGAGACTTAGTGAAACTCTTCGATAGAATGGTAAAAGATGCTGGGCGCGGCACCACATCTCTGAGAGCGAAATCACTACCTCCATCGAAACAACGCACTCAGTTCACTAGAAGTCGTTCAGTTCAGAGAAGAGCAGATTCATCTATACAGATTGGCGTTTCGAAGTCGGAGTCTAAAACACAGTTTGGATTCCGAGGTTGGAGTGTTCTTATTTTGATACCTATACTTCACTGATTTATATGACGCCATTAACGTGACACTTGTTTACGTTTAAGCCTAGATAATGTATTTTATACACGGGCTACGCTACGAATTCCAAAATGGTTATGCTTTCTTGTTATGTAACAATTTTTTTTTACTGTGGAAGTATTATTGGATATTTTGAGATAGTTTTCAGAACTGTTGACGAAGAAACTCTCATTACCAACACAAGGTGTTGTGAACGAGAATCAAATGAATTCATCTCGACCCCTGGTAGTGTCGTCAGAGAGAAATAACTATAGCGATGCGCACGCGCTGTCATTTCACGGTTTGAATTTGGCAAAACAACAGTTAACCGGGTTAGAATCAAAATAGTTTTATTTTATGTTTAGTTCTTTGCTTATTTGTTTTTTTTGATCCGTTTTTCATTGCTTCGGAAATCCTTTATTTTACAGAGTACTAGCCTGCTTTTGTAGTGAAATCGGAATAGACGGCATTGTTGAGGACGAAGTGGTATCAAATGACAGTACTGATGAACGTAGGATGTCAACTCCAGTAGGAAGTCGTGACGAAAGTATGTCGTTGAATCAATATTTTGCACTGATAAGCTCACATAAGGTAGGTAGGTAACTCTTTATGGCAAGTGTTTCGCTTTCATCGCCTTCCTAACAGACTCATGTGCACATCTGTTATTCTTTTCCGATGTGTTAATCTTCAAGGTCTTATAGAGCTAACTCTGTTGAGAGTAGCACGCTACAGATGGGAGTGAGTAGGCGGTGGTGATGATGCCGTTCATTATAAGGACAACCTAATGCACCTAAGCGTTGGTTCGACCCAACACTGTGTCCCTCTTTCCTCCAGATCCGTGAAATTGCTACCAGACCTATTTGGAATAAGATCACTCACTCATTTCCACTTGGCAATGCCTCAGTACGACCATCACGGGGCTCGAAGGAGAAACGAATCGACCAGTCTTCAACGCCGTTCATAACGAAGACGAGAATTTTTTAAGCAGCAGCCGAACCCACACACGAAAAGTTTGAAGACCATTGTGGATGGTCGATGCCAGGAAACAATGCCTGTACAAAAAAGTGCTCGTGTAGGCAAAATGTGATTCAGGTGATGTGAAGTGGTAGTCTACACGATATTGTTAAATAAGCGTGCACTGCAATAATTGCAGGATGGGTTGTTTTCATGGAAATAAATAATCCAATGAAAAATCAGTAAATGACTACCCGACACAAAAATACGCCATAGAGGGAATTTACTTTATTTTTATGATGTTCCGTGGTATCCCATTTCACCTATTATGATGTTCGAACTGTATTTTATCTCATTTAGGTTCTTTTCGGCGGTGTATTTTTCTGCACAAAACTTTTCTTGCCGCACTTTTTGTACTCAATTGAGAGTTCATCCTACATAGTAGTCTCAGGCGAGACCTATGTAAGGTTGATCTACCCACTTAATAATTTACAGGAAGCTTTTTTCTCGGACGAGTTCGTTGACCGGTAATTTGACTGTCGATTAACTGTTACTTCACTTTAAACGTAATCATGAATTCTGCTTAGCGAATAGAATGTCGAAGAAAGAGCATGTATAAGCGATGTTTAGAAGCACCGAAATAGACCCAGTCTAAGTTGCGGAACACATCAAAATTCCGGCAGCAATATTGTTATGAGGGGTACCGTAGTAACAAGGAGTGAGTAGCAACATTTATAGCTGTCACATTCCTCTTGCGATGGAACACAAACTCTGTTATAATTCCATCATCTTGACCATCTAATTATCGAAAAATTACCCGTTCATTGCCAAGAAACTAGCAAGTATGTAATGTCTGAAAAATAGGTGTCGCCAGGAATGTGTGGGCCCAGCTTCGATGATTCACAATGTCAGAAAGATGGAAACTGGGGACATTCGACCCGAATCATCGCAAACTCCGAAGACGGATATAGAGCCGATGGTAGCCAAAAAAGAATTGTGTAGCACCCTCGTGTGAACTTGTCAATATAGCAAGAGAATGGTTATTTCTGGCTCGGTTCAAAAGAGCTTGCTTTCCAAAAAACTTCAAATGTACAGCATTTGATCCTCATAGTTATCGAGCAATGGTATCAATGAGGTTTTCTTTCTTTTTTTAAGCTCGCAAATACTTCATGTCAATTTTTCATTTTTAACATGGAGAAGTGCGTCGGAAATGAGTTAGGTGTCGCGACAAAGTTCGCTTTTATGTCGATTTCAAAGAAGAAGAAATGTCGAAACCTAGGAAAGTTACATTTTACGCCGTTCCTATCTTAGATTTTCAAGCTTAGGTGATCTCTCGAACGCTTTCGGTCATTTGCCCTCGATAGACTCTCTGAATATCTCTGCTATCCTACATAGCAAATGTGTAGGAAGGTACATCCCTCATATTTTATCCACTCTTTGATGTGAAGTTTCTTTGGTTTTTATTTTTCAGTGAGTTTAACGGAAGCACACATTTTTCTGAGCATAATAGTCTCATTGATATCCACAAAGAAAACCGAGAAAAACGCACGCTTAACGAGCCCGGTAGTGACTGTGAGCAACCGGCAGCACTCAAAGAATCACATCCACCTCAAAGGTATACTGTTTTAACCTCTTTATTTTTGAATTCCCTTAGCCACTTTTTGATGGTTTTTTTAGTTTTTAAATCCAGCAATTACTAAATCTTATGTTGTTGACTTCTGTGTTAGTTACAGCGGTGGTTTATACTATAAGGTAGAACTTTACTTTTTTCCGATATGGTATTATTATCGGAACCGTTTGTAATAAGTTTCTCTGTAAATTGTTAATTCACCTGTGGTATGTTGTAGATATTTCAGGCTACCCTTATCACATCGAAACAGTATTCAAAGTGGCTGTTCTTTCCAGCACAGACAATCGGCAGATGGAGAACAGTGTCGCAGTAGTGTTAGTTTATCGTGCTTAATTTAGTGTAGTGTAGCATGTGATAGTGTCAGCGTAGACTCTGAATTTATAGCATGTTTTCCTTCGAGTCATTAACTGTCGAACACCTCTATTTTCACCTTTAATCCCAGTGTATTCTTAGCCAGTTTCCAGATTGCTGGACCCATCGCCTTTTTTCATAGTCTGTGTTTAGCTCTACTGTGATGGACTCAGCTGTGCAAGCGAGTATTTCTTTAGTGCAAGCCAGCACCAATCGACTACCAATTGTCATTTAGTAACAAACTTCACCGTATACGTCATTCACTTTAAAAATAGAGAACTTATGCTCTTACCGACATCTTCGACGCTTTGTGACACTTGTTGAAATTTATCTTTGGAGCGCAAACACCCTTATGGTTTATTACAGCCTTGGTTTTGGATTCTCTATCCATTTCACGATATGAAGACTTGCAGTGGTTATTTTTAGAGAAAATATCTGTCGAAAAAGTTTATAGAAATTATCTTCAGGGTCTCCCTGTTACTTAGAGTTTTTCTTTCGAGCTATGAGCCACTTTGGAACCTGGGAACTGTCAATACGAATAACTTTTCAAGCGAAATATAATAGTTCTGTTGAAGTACGTAATTTTTGACTATTCAAGGAATCACATTCCACACGTCATTACAATGAAATTGAGCAAGTGAAGGTAGATGCCGAAATTGATCGACTATTCGAGTTCACTGAGGTTAGTAACTGACGCTTTTTGGGATTATGCAACTATATATGACTGCCAGTTGCGGTTTTTCATGAGAAAGAAATGGGAACAACGAATGTCATTGAGTTATTTCGTCGTTGGATTCCCCCCACGTATTAAATGGTAGAATGTCGCTCAAAATCAATTGTTGACGAACTGAGGTGGAATCAACTCGGTAAATGAAGCCGTATAATCTTTCGATTGTGAGTTTTTTGTTGCAGGAACAGGAACACGATGATCTGGGCACAATTGGATGCGAAACATTGCCAGAGAGGGAAATTTCCGTATTGAAGCATGGTGATGCTGATACCGCACGAGACGACGGCGTCAGCCATTTTCCAGAGTTTCTAACGAAGACCTCGCAACCCTCTATGTGCTGTAGCATCCATTCGCTCAAAGAGCATTGTTCTGATTGCTCTCTTAAACATTCAGTAGGTTTTTGGTCGTATAGTATGTGTCAAAATGCCAGAGATTTGTTGAACAGTTAAGTCAGAACGTAATGCTTACATTTCATGAGCACTGCTAATGACTTGGCAACTTATCGGAATCCTGAACATTTTTATCATCAGCGATTGCTTGCAGTCGAAAGGCTCTGTGGTTAAAATCAAATGACCGTTTAAACTTTCAGATGAGTCCTAATCGAGCTATCCAGCACATTAGTCGTGTTTCCGTAGATCCTCCAGTACCACTTTCGCCTCTTTCTGCGCCAGCTGCTGGAATCGGTGTCGGTACATATAAATCAAGAAAGGAAATTAACGGGAAAAAGGTTTCTTTGCTTTTTTTTTNTTTTTTTTTCGTTATCCTGCTTCTTTTACTTTCAGAACTCTTTAGCTTCGATGTTATGCTTATTTTTAAAGGTGCCAGTGTCGCACATTACCGAAGAAACGTTATTTGTTTTTGTATAGGTTAATATCTTCCATTATCTTGCTCGACCTACCGGCACACATCCATGTTCTCTGGCCATTTCCGCTTCTGTCGAATCGCTTTTGGGAACTACTTGCTCTCAAGGGGAGTATTCTTATCATATATACATATATATATATATATATATATATATATGCATTTTTTGGGGAGTAGAATGTGTGGGGGTGCTACACTGGAACTACGCCTAGTTTTATTCGTAATTATAGTTCAAAAATCAACAGCTACAATTACGATTTATTTAGTAACTTCGGCCGTTCTTAACATTTGCGATTCTTTTGCAAGTTCCATAACTCCAGTCACCAGTCGTCCTGAAACACATTTAACATCTGAAGAATACACGCGGCAAATTGAGGCAGGAATTTATCCTATAATAGAATTTTCGGTAGTTCTGTGGGTGTTTCAAAGAATACATGATGAACGCATGTTAAACGCCATAACTCTACTCACCACAACATAGGGGATTAGTAATAGTCTAAAACGTCTTTTTTTTTTTTTTGGAAATTACGTCCGTTTCATCAACAAAATGGTTTCGACTCGAGGCTTGTTTCAGTAGTTCATCAGGAAAACAGTGTAAATTTAGTACTCGAACTGCAAACTCCATGTTGGCAACGGGTTCGAGGTTGAAAATCATCGTCATTATTAAGTGCTTACGTATCTCGACGCTCGCTGAAATCACAACATTTTAAGACTTTGTGGAATGAGTCCATCTATTTCTCTCATTTATATTTATTTAGAAATTGAAAGATGGAATTTATGTTCAAGAGAAACAGATTAGGATGACGATGGAAGTGCTTGCATTGGCAAGAAAAAGCCAGGACTCGATGCAGGAGGTAAGGTGGAAGGTAGATTGGACAAAATGTAAACTACAGCGTTTATTTTTACCACACTGCTTTTATCGTTATTTTTGTCCTAAATCATGGAACGTTTTCAAAAGGCTTTCGGATGTGTTTGCTCGTCTCATTGAGCCCTGCATCGAAGCTACTATGAAGGACATTGTTGATTTCGAAGGTGCTAAAAGCTCTCTACTATGTTTATATGTCTAAGTCTAACACTTAGAAACGTTTTTCCGCTACTCTAAGGAGATGAACTGCCAGGAAGGGGTGTACAGATAAAATTTTGCCATGAACTTTTACTGAGTTTCACCAGTTTCACTATTGTTAAGGAGCTTTGCGTTCTAGGAGGGTTCGTTTATGAAGGCATTTCCATGTATTGTACTAAAGAAATTCTCTTTGATCAGTGAAGACGAGGTAGTTGACACGTATCTCTGATTTTTTAAGGGTAATATTTTCGCATTTTCACCTTTTTCGAAACCTAGACGTGTCACTGTATAATAAACTTGTTTGAAGTGTAGAGCTTGCTAGTGGTTGATAAATTTGTTTTATTCGGCTACGGTTTCGACATCTTGCTCTTCATCAGAGCCGGTGATCCCAGTCGATCGTCTACAGTTGTTCGTCTTCTTGAAGTGGCATGTTCATTGAAATGGATCTTCTTCAGTGGAACACCGCACGAACGAAGCAAACTCACCGGGCAGTGCTCTTTTATACCGTGCGGTTGTTATTGATATGACTATCCTTTGGTAATCATTTGTTTTTCAACGCATAATTCACCCTACGGATAATCCACTGCAAGGTAAGCATGCCTCATTCTTGCGGTGTTCTACTGAAGAAGAACCGTCTGGATGCAACAACAAAGACGTTAGATCAATAAGGCGAGCTACAGCGGACCATCCACTCGGATCATCGAAGACGAGAACGTCGAAACGTTATTCGAATAAAACAAATTTGTCAGTCTTGTGAAATCCCAGCAATTTAAGCCAATTAGTTACTTTATTAGCGAAGTTAGATGACGGTCAGTTTGAAAACGATCGTTATATAACTTTCAACTTATTATTTTACGAGTATTCTATGATTCCAATGAAAATATCGTCTACAAACCACCTCCTAGCCCTTTAAGAATAGCCATCGTCTCTTCTTTTAGATGAAAATACTCAAAGTTATAAGGAATTTCTGAATTGTTGTTTTTGAGTGCTGCACGACGATCGAGACAACCACTTTACAATCATCTCCGTTCCATTTTGTGTACTATGCTTACCTGAAGCAGTGCTTTTGTTCTCAGTTGTTTCGTATCTAGTGAAGGGGTTGTCTTTCGGATTTTGAGCTCCTAGTCTAGATATTCTTTCGTGCGGACAGAAAGCAATCTGGTCGTTTCACTAATGTGCTCATCAAGGTCATACCGTATACTAGCTTTCCTGAGAGGCGAGTAATACCTGGAGACCGAAAAATTGTTCACTGCCATTTTCGTCATCGTTTAGCGTCTTGGATTTTTACTTACTAACTCTTGATAAGGAGTTGGTCGAGCACGAACTTCAATTCGTAGTCCGCTCTTCAGGGTATAAGATCTAATTTTGAATCTACCGGGTGGTAGTTTTTTTTTCTCCGATTACGCTAGTGGAGTTCTTATGGAATAAGAGGTTATAAAAAGTATAAAAACCTAAATTAAATCTACATTTCTTACAAAACCATGCAAAGGAGAGGTAGCGTCGTTATTAAATTGTGCTCGCATTCTCACAAAGCGCAAGATGTCGAAATGTTCCGAGAACTACGGATGAATGCATCTTTGAACATAAGTAATGCATAGGATGTGAATAACAGAAATAGTTAAATTTGTTTTCGATGGAACTAGCACGGCCGTCATAAATAGTTGTGTGGGCCCCAGCATAATCACCATTTTCGAGGATTTGCTGGTGAAGCCATTGTGGTTGCTTGGAATCCTGAGGTTAGCCTGGCCAAAGTCTGCCCCTGGCCTTCATCACCACAGACAGTCGCAGTTGTTAAGGATCAGTGGCGGATTTGCCACCATGCGACTAGTTTGGTATTGACCGATCGTAGTATTGGTTTACTTTTTTCTCATCATGAAAGACCTTGCCGGTGGGATGAATTTCCCCGGTGTACATCGCAGTCCGGCACTCAAGAACATCTGCCAGCCACGATAAAGCGGTAAACCGTTGCGAGGATAAAAGTATTAAAATATTAGATCTTGAAATAGTTCCGAAGATCGACATTCTATTAACCTCGGCATTGGAATATGAATGCGTCGTTTTCTTGTTCAGCAATCGCGAGGTTGCTATACAGCATACATTTAATTCCATAGAAAAACACAGTACAACGCAACAGTAGTTGACGTTCTGGCAGTATCGTCTTCTTCAGAGCCGCTTTTTTTTTCGTGAATTCCAACGAGGAATATCAGAGCAGCTGATTATAGTCGTATGTACTCATTGGAAGGCACGAGAAAAAGTGACTGTGAAGAAGGAGATACTGCCGAAACGTCAGCTAGTGTTGTACTGTATTGTGTTTTTCTATGAAAGTAAATGTATGCCGTTTAACGACCTCGCGATTTCTGCGCAAGAAAACGAAGTAAATCTTNAAAAAAAACCAATATTGGATGGTGAAAGGCTTGCTTTGTGCTTCAGAAGTATATATTGTACACACATAAAGAACAAAATTTCTATTTAAAAAATTACGAGGAAAACTGAAACAATGAAATCGGGCATTTTGTGTGTACGAGCCTTATAACGCGATCTTGTTTACAAAGCAGTAGCAGTGGCAGGCGGACCCAATACGACCTATTCTTTGGAAAAGTTGAAAAATAATGCGAATTGCTGTTGTACAATATCTGGGTTTTGTCATGTTCTTCGTATTTTCTCAAAATTTTCCTAGAAGATTATGCTGCTTTTCAAGCATATTTGGGAGCACTTCATTCATATGAATTTCTATAGCTGCGCTGTAAGAGTCAGCTACAAGAGCTGAGTCAGAGTTTGATTTCTCACGCGGAAGAAAATATGTGGTTATTAAGAAGCCGATGCACAACTGGAAAAACCTATTGTGTTATTCTTTAAGGTCATTTAAGCATCTGATGTTTCTTGACTGTGATATGAAAGGTTCACACATATAACGGATGTAATTTCTAGGTGGATGCCCATCGCACACTATTATTGGCTCGTGAACGCCTTGATCTGTTGCGGTGTGAGATGAATCTCGTTTCGGCGTTGTCGGCATTTCGCATTCCGCCGCGGCTAGTTTCTCAAGAGTTACGTGGAACGATGACGATATCAAATATAACATGTCATTTAAGCAGATATTTCTGTTGGCGAGAACCTAATGATGGTGAGAAGTTTGTTATTACTGGAGTAAACGACGGTGTGAACTGAAAGGTAGTCACCTTTTAATGACTCAGTTAGGCCTAGATTTAGTGTTCTGGAAGGTATAATCTTTGGCAGTTAATTATTCTAGATAATCCTGTTTATGGCTATCTGCAGGTGTAACAACTATGTACTCTTAGTTTAGTGGATCATATCATCTACTACCGTTCCGCTTTCTTCAACCCTTAGAATAATTTTTTTGAACTCTTCAGACTCTTCTTATGCGTTTCTGATACTTCTGAAATGTGGTACTGAAGTGCAGGCGACTGCTCCCATTTCGTTATTCGCACATAATCAACTTCGAGTTCGTCAACTCACATTTGCTGAACACATCCAATTTGTTAATCTGCCTGTCGATTTCAATGTGGTTGTGGAAGTGTGCGCCATGGTTGGTGGTTTGCAGTTTTGCTATCAAGAACCTATCTGACAATAAATTAACTTGTTTGGCTTTTACTATTGTGATTTTCTGTTTTGTTTTGGACTGGAATGTTTGTTTCTCGCCCACGGTATGTGAAGCGTTTTAGGAGCTGCCTATTTCAAAAAAAAGCGAGCAGTCATGTGCAACTAACATTGCCAAGAAGTGTCTCAACTTACTGAATTCAGGTTTTGGATTCTTAAACGATTTTTCTGTGCTTAGCAACATGCCTACCATTATTTAAGCACGTGTTTTTTGACGACTATTATGAGAAAATTTTAGTGTCCCGTCGTACTAGGTGCATGTCTTACCACGATGATACACACCTATCCAGATTTGAACGTTATGGATATGTAATCCTCAACAGGGATACTATTATGGCCAAAAGGTTCTACCTGGATGAAGCCAGGTATCCTCTCGAGGGTACAATTGAGGTGTATGCTCGTTGCAGCACCTTACCGCAAGCTATCGAAATAGGAAACAAAGGCTATTTGGTTGGTTATTGTGTGCTACTAAAAATGATTCCTATTATTTTTATGACAGAGATGCCCTTTCTCCAATACAATTTCAAGTCTTCAGTTAATAGAGGATATCTTGTGACCACAATGTCTCTCGGTAGCTAACAGCACTCCATTAGAAAATTTTTCTTTAATCACATTCCTTCAAGTGTCGTTTTGCGAACCATTATTTAAAACTTAATTTTAGACCGTGTATCAAACGATAAATGCGTCATGGAAGCGTTATTGGGTAGTATTGCATCGTGGTGTGATATACCTCTGGCAATATCGGAGCGATGAGTCATTTAAGAAAGTAAGCATTTTTCGTAAGTGAACCCCTTATTTAGTTTACCGTTTAATATTGTAACTTTACGGCCGAAAAATTAACATTTTGACAAAGATTTGATAGGGATTAACTGTGAATTTTACTCATATTTCAGCGCCCTGCGGCCTTCATGGACCTCAGGAAATGCACGAATGATGTAGTAGTTGCGTGTGACCCGCGCCAATGTATGATAGAGAATTCGTTTAGCATTGATATGCTAGTTTCTACAACGCCGTCAATAATGAAGGAAAAACGGTACTAGTTTAATCGATTTTGTTTCGATTTCGAATGTCAGAAGCAGCACATTTGCAGTTGGAGTATTGTTTATCCGGTTGTTGGATGCGCCTTTACCTTCGAGTAACAAGCAGTCTTTGATGTGGTTGAGGTGCTAGCTCACATTTCAGCTACCTGTAGATCAACAGTAGATGTGTGTATCGGATTAAATAGCAGTCGCTTGTGTGGTTTGCCATACTCAATAACGCCACCGAAACTGGAGTCATATTTCCGACGAAGTTCTTTTTCAAGTCTTTTTACCCAATTTCCAGCGTTATCATCACCGTGTATTTGTATATGTGTCGGAAACACCAATTTCAACGATGGCATTGCTGCTTAGATATTGCTACTTTAGAGCCACTGATGCTGCGTTACAGTAAAAAGGAGGCTCGGAATTCTCTTCGCGATACGCTCCTTCTTAATGTTGGAGAGAGGATACGGATTAGTTCATCGGAACAGTACAATATTTTGGGCTCGTTATCTGCTCTCTTTTGACGATTAGGATTTCTCTATTGTTTGGTGCGAGTTTTCTCAATACGTAATCATATGTGTTTACCTTGTGGTTTCCTGCAGATATTCACTTGTTATAGAGAGCTTCTTCTTCGTCTTAGTACAGTGGCAGTTTCTTTAGCAGATGCATATTGGGTACATAAGGTGGTAGGGTGGATGAAATGCATTGATCTCAATGCATTTCTCATATCTTGCTTTGCTGTGTTCTCTTATTTAATCAATAGCTTGTCTGGCACGGATATGAGGTGAAAAAAGTGTTCTGTGCTAAACTTATTAGGTGGAAAATGCTGACCACGGTGTGATTAATTACTGAATCGCACAGTAAAAAGTGGCATCGTTCTTAGAATAGAGCTTCCGTGCTAATTTCGACTCCTAGAGTAGTCAGCTGCCAGTGAAGCAGTGTCTTTCATTCATTCATTGGCAACGTTTTATCGGAATGCTACGCGAGTTATTCCATCCTTCAAGCAACAAAGAGCATAATCCCAACTGCCTATCATTTAGTACTATGCATTAGGCTTCACGGGTTAAACTGTATTGAAGTCGTGTTTCTCTAAAAAGGAGCAATATAGTTACGCAAAACAATGATGTTGCTAGGAAATTACGACGTAGATGTCATCCAGTGTTTCATTTTTGTAGGAATCCGTTCAACCACTGTTTGAGTCTTGCCCTCGAATATCTTCAGTACTCAGCGACAACAGTCTGTCTTTGCTATATGAGATAACACAGCCAACATTTTATGAGAACGAAGCCTGCTCATGTGGCAAAGTTCACAGAATTCCGTGTCAGTTTTATCGCAATGTCCAAGCCTATGTATCGACATGGCAGACCTCAATTTGCGGACACTCGCGTTCACGATTTTGTTCCTATGATAACTTTATCTAACGGTTTTCAAAGAGTAGCCTTATTTAATGGATTACGATCTAGTATGAGTAGCGCTATGGTAGTGGTGGTATTCAGCACTCATGATGCCTCTTTTTTGATCCCACATCGGGCTTAGCAAGCACCAAATTCCCTCTGAGATCAGGTGATTGGTACCACATTTTGGCATTACCCCTTCCATGGGTTCACGTGTACCCACTCCACCAACCAAGGCCCTTGAGTAGCTTTTCTCTCGGCCATTTTTTTTTACTCTAACACTGCTATCAGCAAAAACTATTCAACGAGAATACTCTGGGCAGCATAGTCCGGAATCGAACCCAGTTAAGCTGAGATTGCAGTCAAAGTCGTAATGTTTTAACTTTTATTTTTTGTTTATTTCTTTTTCATGGCAAGGTACTGTTTGAAATGCAACCACAAAGATGCTGAGATATGAGAACAACTTGGAACGTCAGGTGTTGAACCGTTAGGATAAAAACTAGCCGAGAGAAAAGCAAATCAAGGGCATCAGTTGGCGCAGTGTATAACACGTGAGATGCTGAAAAGGGTACTCATGGATTCGAAGAACACCTAGTGTTCTGAGTTCTGCTCATATATCAGCATTCTTTTGGTTGTAGTTTACATTGTACACTGCCGTGAAAAGTCAGGTACCGTGTAGAAGCTGGGGTGTCGAATCTGTCAAGAGTTCACTCCGCTCAACAAAGGCGGCAGATTATCTGTGGTGAAGATGTGGGAAATATCCATGCAGGAAGGTTCTCCGATTTCGGTGAGAATCTGCTGGAACAACATTTGAAAAGAAAGTCAAAGTTCCTAAGCAAATGGAACTCCATGCAAAGACCTTCGTTAGTGATGAATAAAAGAAAAGAATAGAACGAAAGCGCTCAGAATTACACAACATGTGCAGTCGGGTCCTTTTAAAAAAGAAATCTCGTTTATGGATCTGAGTGACGTTATTCACCATAGAAGTCATTCTTTTTCGGACGAAAAACTGTTGTTAGTATGTGTCTGGTGTTACAAAATTCTGAATGGAATAGAAAAGATAGGACGATGTGTTCGACTATTATAGAAGTTTCACAGTTTCTGTGAAGAGCAACACTTCTACTTTTGAATGCCTCTTTACTTGAAATGTTTCTATTCTTTTGTCTACAGTTTTTGGTTTTTCTTGCAGTGTATTACTGCGTGCGGATTCCAGTGAGCTGCTTGAAGCATGGCTACGAGCTCTCAACGAGACCTTGTCAGTGCTCAGAGGAGAACAGTGAATTCTCGGTCAAATAATACTGTAACCTTTATGTTCGTTGCATCTTTGTGACCCAGTTAGTTGCTGTTTTCTTAAACAATTCTTAATTAATGTGAAACTGCCCTATTGCTATCACATTGCTTTGTGTTCGAACACTCGGTCAAGAACAAGATAAGGAAAAACACGTAGAGTAAGATCATCAAGTCTTTGCCTGTTGTATAATGAATCGTTTATAGCGCTTGGCTTAGACAGTACACCTTCTTATGTCTCCATTTTGATGTAGAATAAATCTTTCATGAATTTGACGCTTCTGTTTGTGGTGTGTCGATCACGAACATTTCCGGTTGAGTGCATTTCCGCCGTTGCTTCGAAATCACCACAATCGGAGTCGTCAACGAACACGGTCACACTATGCTCTATGGTTCACTATAGAAATCTTATGTTTGTGTCTATGTTAAGGTGGTACATTATTTTCCGTATAATCACTATTGTAATCTGCTATTTTCAGTTTGTTGTTTTTTTTTATTTGAAATAACTGCCTGTTATTAACTGTTAACAGATAGTTTAGTTGTTAGATGAAGTTTTGGAAGTGAAGTATCCGATGTTTAAGATCTAATACCAAATATTTTCATGAAAGTCGGATGCACTTGGATATTGGAGTTTGAGATTCGTCGCAACGATACGCACGACGATGCTTTCTCTTCTGTGTCAGCCGATTGTCGTCGTGCTTTGCGACCGAGTTACAGCCGTTGATTTCTTTTCTCCGCATTCCGTTCACCAGAGATTGTATAGTAGCTTGTGCTCAACTTTTCTCGAGGAGCCCATTTCTATAGCTCAGATTTGCATACAGAGGTCAGCGTTATGTTAACGGATGGCAATGTTTCTTCTCCTTGACACGTGAGGAACTGTTACAATTCGATTTTTGTCAAGTACTCCGCAGACTGCGAACAAGTGCATTCGGGTGTAGGGAGCGTCTCAGTTTATCAACGAGAACAAATTTAATTGAGAGTTCTCAAATGTATTGTTGTGAGTGTCGAAATTACTACTTATACAAGTGAAGGTCTTGCTATCTCTTCACATGGAATGTAGTTTAACTCCGCTCCTCATGATGATTTTTTGAAGAAGATGAGATGTTTGGTTTTGAATATGCTTGTAAATTTCTAAAAAGGGCGAGAACACCAATTTTTGGGGCTGTTGTTTCCTCTATAAATCGCAAAATATTAGAGAGTGTTCGTACTTTTTCGGAAAACTATCCGCTCTTGCCAAATATACCATCTACTTCTGTCATGTGACGTTTTTCACTGCGTGCGAACAGATGGAATGGTGACTAGAAAACCTAGACCGAACGTTACCCATGGTTTGTTCTAGAACTTGCACATTTTACTAGAAAGCCAGTGAGCAAGATGCAAAGTGAATCCAGTGTTTTCCAAAGTTTCTGTCCTTTGCCAAGGCTTGCTTCCTTCATTTTGTACATAATGAACAACAGTGTTTAAGAGCGTTGTTTTACAGTCTTACGTGTTTTATGTATATTTTGGGGTATTCTGAAAGCTTCACATGTTACTAATCCGACGGGTACTTCGTTCAAAATATAAGTTGGATCGAAATGACCAAAGTCCAGTGTGACGAGTTTCTACCTCGATGACTTCCCAGAATCAATTTTCTCGCTGTGGCAGGCTCTTAGAAGCCTAACGTTAGCTGTTTTTAGTCTTCCGAATTCTGCTTGCAAAACAAAACTTGTGAATGTGAGCTTCGAGAAGTCAGAAATCCTACGAGGTTAGTGACCGTCATCCCAGCTCAAGACCGGATTCTTTCTGACGGTGTCGTACAATTCAAAACTCCAGTAGAGTTTTCGCCTATCCTGAATCAGCTATGCTCTTTATTCAATCTATAATTATATTCATGGTTACACTTTATTGATGCGCGTAGATCTCTACTTGCCTTTAGAATTACTAATTTTTCCGCTGAAGGGTACACTGTTTTCTTCAAGTCTCCTGAACATTTGAAGAGTTTGATGTTCTCTTGGAATTGATCTGGATGCTGTTCGCCTTCACCGGATAGATGAGGATTATGGCGATGGAA